CAGCTGCAACCTATATATATATATATATATATATATATATATATATATATCAAGAAACTGGATAATAAAAAGCAGTTAAAACATTAAATTACTTTCAAGAACATGTTAAGACCTAAAGTAGACTTGATTTAGAAAATAATGCCCTCAAGCGTTTCTTGGATATTTTAACCTTACTGGGTAAAATAAATAAGCTTAAACACGTCAAAATAAATTAAATATAAACGCTTTTGCCCGCTTTATTTCCCCTTAACACGCCCCCTGATGAGAAATAGATTAATTGCATCGTGGTTTTGTTTTATCTGATCATTAAATGGCTGTTAAAAGATTTCAGAGCTTGAAAATGTTAAAAGTTGCAACAAGTTAAAACCATAACAAAAACTAAAACCTTCGTGATCTCTGAATAAACTTCTGTCCGGTTCTTTACCAAACCTTATTTAGTTTTATAACTGCCTAATAGTGTGACACTTTTATTTTTTTACCTTTGGACGTCAAAGACTTTCCAAACAGCTCAATCTCAGTTGCGGCAGTGTCTCAGTGGCAGCACTGAACCAGGAAGGCTAACAGGCTAACGTTAGCACAAGTGGTGCTCACGTAGAAATGGCCACGAACGACCGGTTAAACGACACCACCGCCATTTAAGAAAAACAGTCAAAATATCTGAAAACACAAACTGTTTGGAGGCAGCTTTGTAATAAAATACCCCTGAATGAAACTCAGTTTGCGCTACGTTGTCTGCTAACAAACAAGCTTCGTAGCTTCACGAGAGCCACTTTAAAATGACTCCGACGAATCTCCTCGCTTTAACATTAGTTCCGTCTGACAAGAGTCCATCCTTCCCCCTATGCCTTCCCCCACTCAGATCAATGACACAAACAACATCCTCAACAGTGGCTTTATTTCAAAGTAAAACAAGTACTTGCATGAATGAAAGAATCAACATAAAAGTAAATTAATTACTTTGATTTATAAAGCAAAATAAAAATTTACAAGTCCATTTTCCTCTGGAATAATAAAAAAACAACTAAGTATCCATCTTCTGATCAACATCTTGTTTTGGTGTGCACGAGGAGTCAGGCAAACAGGAGGAATTGTGGGACTGTTTGGATCTTTTGCCTCTGTGAACAGTTTCACCTCCATTCTCCCCTTCCTCCCGCTCTAGTCGGCCTCTTTTCACAAAATGATCTATCCTGGATTCCAGGCTCTCGCAGCACGGCCGCTGCAGCAGTGGACGGTAGTTTTTTTGTCTGCTGCCTTCCACAAGGCAGCAACGGTTAGAAGATACACCACCTGTGGATTGAGAGCAGTGGGAAAATTATTTTAGTTTATTAAATTTATTTCATGTTAAAATTAGGGATGCACCGATCCACTTTTTTGATCAGATACCTAAATTTAAATATCGTCCGATACCGATCCAGTTCCGATATCATCATCATCGTTGATTTTATGAGACTGTAATAATCTCCTCTCAAGTACAATTTGTACAAATCTATGCATGCATGTCCAAAAAGGCAACTTGAGGTAAGTTTAATTAATGTTTGATAAGTTTTAAAGTTAGAATTAAATTCTGCAAACACAAAACATGTTTCTTTTTATTCCTAGATTTAAAGTGGGTATTAAAGTGATTAATTTAAGTGATTGTTTAAAGTTGTTTTTTTTTTAAATAAGGAGCAAAAATAAGATTTTTCTTCTTTCTGCATTCTTTTCATTCAATGTTTACTTTTTGATAAATTTGTTTTGTTTCTTTAAATGATTGAATAAATGAATTAAATTAAACAAAATGTTAAATGGCTTCAAACACCTTCATGGCATAAACAAACAGACATGTTCCTGTTTTTAGTATTTTACATCACTTTATAATGTAGCTGGGTTTTTTTTTAAATATATATATATAAATGTTCTTATAATTTTCAAATCATGTTTTTTTTATGATTGTCTACTGTTGTACTGATAAATATCTCCTGGAGGGTAAACTATATCTTGGCTGCAAGTATCAAGCTGAGAAATCCTTGGTTTTCTACAAGTGATAGTGGTTTGTCATTAATTATGATGAAGTTTAGCAGCTTCTCAGTAAACATTCGAGCTCCGGGGCTTCAGTGACGTCGTCGTCTTCTTGTTCAATCCGTAGCAAGCAGTCTGATTTCAGTCAGTCGCGCTCAGTCTGTCCCTCCTCAGAGACGGGCAGATTGAGTGGGGCAGATTGGACGCGGCTGGCCGGGGTCGAGTCGCATGTTTCGGGTTGAGCAAGAGTAGCGCCACGCCGAAGCTTGAATGTCCAACGTAAAACTAACTTTACCGCGGTTTAATGTGGCACTATGGTTCTGCAGACATTGCACGTTGCTGTCTTGTTTTGTGGTGTTTCTAGTGTAAATATTTCCACACAGCGGACATGTTTAGATGAAAAGTTGGCCAACTGTTAACTACAGTGCTGCTAACTCAGTCCTCGCGTTGTAGCTGGCTGCAAACTATGAAATGGATTTCCTGAATGTGAGGTGGGTCTTATTACGCCTCCGTTCAGGAAATCCATTCCATAGTGTGAAGCCAACGTGCACCATGGATCGGAAAAATCTGATACGTAAATTATGCTGGTATCGGAGGCCGATACAGATACCGGATCGGCCCCATCCCTAGTTAAAATGTAGTTCCACTTGGACTAAAAAAAATTAGGTTGATAAATAAAAACAATCGACCATCTTGACCATCAAATTTTGACATTTTTATTACTGTACTTTTCGCCCTATAAGTCAAACCTTTTTTCATAAATTTGCAAGTCCTGCAACTTACACACTGAAGCGACTAATATACACCCCCCCCCCCATATTTATAACAATTTTTGGCTGAGATCTGACAATTTCATTCATTCTGACATGAAAAATATTAACCATTACCATAGAGGACCCTCGACCATTATGGCAAGCCAAGAGTCTCATTAATAGGTAAAGTGGCTATTAATGAGACACTTGGCTTGCCATACAAAGTCACCTTCGTTTCGCTCCTGAACTCCTGGAGCAAACGTCAAATCAGCTGCATTTCGCCGCGTCACCCAGGCGAAATGCAGCTGATTTGACCATTAAAGTGCATTTATTAAGGAAAAGTTCAACTGAGACACACCGTTGCTATAATGTCGAGCAAACAAATAATTGTTTTTAAGTGTTAATCTTGTTAAATTCTTCTTAAAGTTCTCTTGTGCATGCTCCCACAGCCGCCATTTGGCAGTCAATTGATTTTTGGCACAACGCTGGCCCACGTTTCTGGGTGGTCAGTGGTGACGCACAATAGATGTGACTTATACGGCGAAGTTGAGTTGCATTTGGGCCCAAAAAATCTGTCCCAACCCGGCCCCTGCCCACAGTCATAAGTTCAGAACCCCATCCGACCTGACAAATTAACAATAATTACAGATCCAAACCTGGGAAAACCCCCTGACATTTTTAATTAGTTATTAACGGTAGGGGACGCACAGCTAAATAAACGGGGCAGAAGATTCGGAGCTGAGAGGTATTTGTACTTTCATGGCCGTAAAAAGGCATCGCGGTGCAATGGCCGCATGCGGCTGGTGGAAGTATGGCAGGCCATGTTATCATATAATTGTATCGCAGCTATAATTGAATCCTGACATAATTAAAAGCCCGAGACAGGCCGGCATGCTCATTAATCAGATTATAACGGCCCAGCCCTAATCCGGGTCGGTCTGAGCCGGGTTTCAGGTTCGGGTTAGAAATGACAGCTCTACGGCGAAGCGACTTATTTATGTTTTTTCCCACTTTATTAGACATATTTAGACTGATGCGACTTATACGGCGGTGCAACGTGTACGACGGAACGTACGACAGGTGGAACACCACATATTTTGAGTTTTTAAGTGTCAGTATATCTGCAGCTACACAGAAAAAGTTTCAGTTGTGTTTCTTCCATCGTTTTAACAATATTTACATATGTAACCATAGGGATTGTTTTTAACCGACTGTTTCCAAATGCAGGCAGCATAAAAACCATGAAATACCACTGATGGCCATCTTCTTCTCACCTCTTTCCTCCAAACCTTGAATCATCTCGTGCAGAATGTGGGCCCTGACGGCGCTCTGAGTCCAGTGCTGTTGCAGCGACGACAGAACGTGGTTCGCCTCGTCCGCCTCCAGCTGCCAGCTCAAGCCTTCAAAGTGGCAGTGGTACAGCACCAGAGGATAATCCACCGCCATGCTGCACGCCAGACGGAACATGAATCAAAAATTCACACTTCAGTGATATTTCTAATTTATATTAATCCTTCTCATGTTAAAGAAAAAAACAATTGTATACAACCTCACCTGTATTGGGGCTTCCTGGGGTTATTCTTAACATCCAAAAGTTGATCAATTATCTCTGGAGCTTCCAGCTTCTGTCCAATCAAAAGAAGCACGGCCATCATGCAGCGTACCTGCAGCCAAACAACTCATGATTTACTGCAGAAACAGACCATAAGTACTAAAATATCCTATTTCATATGAATAAAGAGGTTTTAAATGAGCCGGATGTTGCATTTTTCTATAAAAGTATACTATGTAAAGATAATTATATTGATACCTGGTGGTAAAGGAAGGCTAACCCTTTGATCTCAAACACAAACAGATCATATTGATTTCTGGACTCGCGTTGGGGATGCACAGGCTTGATGTTGGCTGACAGAATGGTCCTCTCAAACTGCAGGACTCCATTCCCCACGTCCATTTTACACAGATTACGAAAGTCATGAGTGCCCTCGTACCTGTTGAGCGACAACACATCTTCAAATTGAAATTTGAGGAAGAAGAAACCAGCATTTGCGACTCCGAGTCCTCTTCACTCACCGTTTTGCAGCTTCCGCCATTAACGCAACATCCAGTGACGCTTGGGGGAAGTAGTAGCGGTATGTGCGGGACTGGCAGTCAAAGCGTGCGCTGAAACCTTGTGCTACTGGAGCCCAGTCCAAGATACGAATATCCTGAGGCAACACTCTGTTTAGCATCTTTACATATGGAAGCTCAGAGGTACAGTCTTTTACTGCATCAAGGTCAACATTTTCAGGGAGGGTGACGCCCAGACCTCCACAAAACTGTGTGGAGCGCAAGTCAATGGTAATGACCTGAAGTGGAGACAAATGATCATTTATGCTACACACTTTGTCCACATGCACAGCTTTTTTTTACTTTTCTGAACACTAACTGGGACGTTCTTGTAAAATTTGATGCACGTACTTGTGAAAAGGCACTGACTCCTTTATCCGTGCGACCACATCGGTGGTAGTTGGAGCTCTGCCTGTCCTGAATCAGCCGAGTCTTCAGCAGTGCTTCAAAGAGTCTGGCCTCCACCGTGATGTCTGTGTTCTCTTGGACAGCAAACCCCTGGTAGACCCACCCCAGGTAGGCCAGTCTGAGCGCTACATGACGCCGAGGGTGAGCAGTAAAGTCAAAGGGACGCTCCTTGCCTGATTTCTTTCTACATTTTTTAGCACTGCTGGTGCTGTCATCAGACCTTCTATCTGTTTCAATAGGACATGATTTGGACATCACGTAGTCTCCAGCTCCAACATCTTCCTCCTTTAGCTGGGACCTGAGCTTCTCCAGCTCTGCCTCCAGCTCCTTAATCCTTTGTTTTGTTGACTCCGACATGCTGCTTGATGAAAAACACAAAACACTTGGGTGAAACAATTTAGCATTGTAGGAGAGCCAACTGATACGAGTTTAATATGTAAACGTGGTAAACTTTTATTTACTTACTTTTATTTTTTAAATTCACTTTTATATTATTTTCATTGTTAAGGCAAAGTCAAGCTGATGAAGCTACTACACATTTCACAGTTCAAATCAAACAGCTAGCTTGTCACGAGCAAACTGAACTGATCGTCAAATAATCAGCTAGCTCGCCTGAAAACTTAAATAAAAATCGATTAATCAAAATTTACATTAGCCAAAACTTTTATAAAATAATAAATGTGCGGCTTTACCTTTTAGTTTGAGTCACAATGTTGCGTACGAAGCTTTACTTTTCAGTCAGCTTGCTAGTACGCACGAGCACACTTTCTACTGGTTTTCAAGACGGGCACTATCCTGCAGAGGCTTCTGGGAAATGCAGTTTAGCACTGAAATGGTTTTCTGAAATGGGATAGACTTAAGAATCCTTTTTTTTGGAGTCAATAAAGGTTTTTAGGATTATTTGAATACAATAATTGTACTTATTTATTTGCATATTTTGGCTTCAATGCATTTTATCATCGTTATTTACAAATAACCTAAACAATTTTAATCAAATTTGCTGTTTCTGCCAATAAATTCAAAGTTAATGACATTTTGTTGTGCTTATTTTAAACAAAATATTCAGCCAGGAGTTGGATGATATGCTTGAAAGTGCTAAAACTGCTTTTGCAGTCTAAGGCACACTTAAACACAGTGTGACCCAAAATGAATTGCATTTTTATTAACAATAGTCAGAGTAAGAAGAAAATTCAAATAGATTCAAGAATCCAAGGTTCTTTATTTGTCATTCATTGTCATGGTGGAACAAAATTGTGTACGCAGGGTCCCAGTTACATCCAACAAAGTATAAAATGTAAAAGAAAAACAGTAAGATCCAAGATATGAACCAAGAAAAAAGTTAATAAAAATACACTAAGTACTAGTAGCATAAAAACAATACGCCGAACAGCAGCACAAACATGAGTCTGTGTGAGCAGATGAGTACATGAACACAGCAGCGTGAAATAAATCAGCAGCAACATGAAACAGATCAGCAGCAACATGATGTGATTTTTCACAGCGACCATCTTGGTTAGAGATTCATGAGTCTAACAGCCTCAGGATAGAAGCTGTTCCTCAGTCTAGTGGATCTGCATTTAATTCTCCTTAATCTCCTGCCTGAGGGGAGCGGGGTTTCTGTAAGTGTGTGTGCTGGGTGAGTGGGGTCCTTCATGATGCAGGTGGCCCTCTTCATGCATCTGGATGTGTAGATGTCTGTGATGGTGGGGAGGCTGACTCAAATAGACCTCAGCAGTGCCAGACCAAAGTTGCGTATGTATTTGGTGCTGATGCTAGTGTCCATCTGCAGCAGGGAAGTTTGTCGAGAGAACAGGTTTAAAGTTCGTTTTAGTTGAAGCAATATCACCTCTAGCATACTATCAAAGGGGTTCCAATTATTATTATTTTTCTGCTGGTTTTAATTTAAAATAATTCCCCGTGGGAAGGATTAAAGAATCTCATCCTGCTGCGAAATACAGAAAAGGCCGCTCCTGTGATGATCCCCAAAAGGATGATAACTATCAGGATACCGATGGACTATTTCATGAAACAGAGTGAGAGAAGTCATCTCTATTAAACACATCTTGTGCTGTTAAGAGATGCATTTACACAAGCCACCATGAAGGAATTATCAAAGAACGTGCTAAAATGACCTAAAAGGGACACAGCAGCGGTGATGACTGAAATCTGGGAATAGGTTGAGTAATGTAGAGCTCCAATAGAGATCAGAGCAACTCCAGAGGCCTGAAAGGCAAAACAAGAGCTTTAACCTTCTGTCCTCAGGTCAAACTTCAGGAGTGTCAGTTTGATGCACATATACTTATATGTTCCTATGTGAATAAAAAACTAGTTCTAATATTGCATTCTGGATTTATTTATATTTTACACAATGTCCCAACTTTTTCAGGACATTTCTTCTACTTTTCCTCATTACCCTGCATCTGCTTGCATAAATCAACCACATCAGACAGATTGTTGTCGCACAACTTCCTGTAACACTCAACACACAAACCAGATGAGGATCCGATGCATTTTCATTACTCTAATTCACATCCATTTTGCTTTAACATCTAATTTTCAACTAAATCAATCCTATTTTATTTTATTTTTTACCTCTGCTGCCTACTTTGACAGCAAATATAAGCTGTAAAAATCCTACTTTTTTTAAAATGAGCCTTTTGTTAATCAATGACCGTCTCACTGAACAAATAAAAGATTGACTTTACCGTATGTACCAAGAAGATCTGAAGAAAATTAACAAACAGTTGATGCTGCAAAACTCGCATATTCTAGATCCAGGGTTATTCAACTGGCGGCCCGGGGGCCAAATCAGACCCATGGGTGTGTTCAGTTTGGCCCACCAATGGGTTCATTTTTAAATAAAACTTGATTTTAAATTATAAAACAAACATACTTAATTACAATAACTGCTGCATGTCCAGCTCCTGAGTTCTTGGCACCCTGAGCAATTTAGTTGAATAGCCATGTTATAGATCCAAGAGATGTTTTTGTGGATTAGCATTGGAAAAGTTGTAACGTCTTTTTAAAGAGTGAAAAGAGATGATCTCGGCTCTAATTCTGTTCTGACTGTATGAAACTGAGCCTTCAGGCACGGCGTCTTTTAAAGTGATGTATCAGATGAAAATATAAAGTTCTTTTTAACAAGATTTACAACAAACTGCAGAAACACTTCATTTAATAACTTGGTAGTAGGCTTTTATAAATGAACTGATGATGAAAATTAACTCGCAGCACAACTGATTGTTGGATGAGGACAAACTGAAAGTGACCCAAACGACAAACAAACTGCTCAAAATGTAAATAAGGGTGCAATGATAATGCAAATATATTAAACTGTTATTCTACTTATTTTAAACCTATTTATGACAGTTGTTAATTTTTGTGGTAGTGATAGTAAAAATGTGCTTGTTAGAATTATTCTTTAATTTTAAAGTGGAAGTTTCAGGACCCCAAACTTGAACTAAACCTTGATAGAATAGAATAGAATTTATTGTAATTTGCACAGATACATTAGTATGAGCACACTGGAATTATTGTGTGTTCTTCCAATTCAAGAATAGTAAAAGTTTATAAAAGGATAAAAAAAAAAATCAAGATAAAATAGGCAACAATGTACAATTAAAACAAATTTAAAATGGCCTAATTGTGGTTCAGATGCTGCACGTTATCACATTTTCTGTTGCAGTATTGAATAGTTCCTGCCCGCTTTAAATGATCAAGGGCCCAAAGTGGGGAAAGTGAGGGTGGAGGCAGGTGTGGGTGTTTCACCTTTTCCACCAACATTTGGATGTTGTCGGTCCAGGGAGTTGAACCGGCATCCTTCCGAGCACAAGCCCACCTTCTGCGCTACCACTTCCCCCATCTTTACATGTATATTTGCATTATTTTAATTTTTTATAATGATAATTGTACAATGTCTCTCACTGGAGGTGGTGGTCTACGTGTGGATTTGATCAGTTCTTGTGTTTCTTGGTAACTTTTGGTGTATTTTATTTTTGCTTTGATTTGTTTCTTATTGTTTTCTATGTGTTTCAGTTAATTTCCCAGGGTCCAGAGTGCCATCAGTTCACTCTTCCTCAGTCGGTTTCTGTTCCTCAGCTCTTGCCACGCCCACTCTCACCTGTGTGCTCAGGTGTCTCCACTCTTTATCAGCCCCTGTCCATCAAGTCCCTCAGCGTTTCACTTCACCTTCAGTCGAGCATTGTGTGTGTTTTTGTCCTGTCTCGTTCTCCTCTGTGTCTCTTTGAGTTTAGTTTCTTTGCTTTGTTTACAACATTTTTTTTTTTTGGCTTTACCTGCACTCCTTGTGTCATTGTGTATTCCTGGGCGCTACCTCTACAAACCATGACACAGTTTCTGAGAAGGCAGCACTCTGGGCAGCACCAAGTTGGAAAAAATATCCCAAAGGAAACCAAATATAGCATTGTGTTATGTTGTAACATATTACATTCTATTTTCTTGTATTGTGTCATATTGTGTCATCATTTATTGCAGCTTTTTGATCAAAAGAGCCATTTCTACCCCTTTATTCACTAAATAAAATGTGTTGCAAAATCTGCTACAGCTGTGTTTATCAACTCCTGGTTCATGGGCCACTTCGAGTTTGTTGGACGGGGGCTTTTCTGAGCAGTGAGTGTGGCAAAAAATAATAATTTTAACATTTATTGATACTTATACATTCTAGGACAAAAAAAAAGATAATATGATGTGAAGAAGGAAAAAATTCCAGTTTATAACAATTTTGATAAAAAATTAAAACACTGGACTCTGCAAGCCTATGTGAGGAAAAATAATTATATATCCCACTTTGAGGTAATAAAGTAAAAATTAGACGTATCATTCAAACATGTGCAGAAAATTGATCAATACTAATAAAAACTGTTAAAAAAAAAATATATATATATATATATTGTAGGTATAAAAACAGATACAATTAAATTTCATGTAAGTTTTGGACAAAGCGCCACAGATGAGGGACTAAAGAGCTGCTGGTGGCTCGAGAGCCATCGGTCGCTGGTTTATTGCAATGTGTCCCATCATAATGCACTGTAACATATATAGTCTTAACATACTGTGTCGTACAAGAACACATGCTTTTATAAATTACACAATTACAACAAGAAATGCAGAGCACTTTGTCAAATGATTTACCAACTTTAATACATTAGATTACATTTTAAAGTTGTAACTGTTTAGTTAAGAGATGAGTCTTCAAAAGTACTGCACAGATTTCATCTAAGGAAGTCTCTTCTTCATTAAATCACCTCAGAGCATCCTCTTACGATGATAACTTATGTTTCGATAATGACTTTTGTTTTGATTTTTTAATGTTAAAACATACTGAAACCTACCAAAAACTCTGTAACTTTGTAAAGAAACAGAATTTTTTTTTTTTTTTGTCAAAGTTCAAACTGTTTGAGCTCCCTCACCAGCTGTTTGGATCTGAAGCAGCTGCAGGAAACCTGGTCTGACTCCATGGGCCTCTGGCTGCAGCAGAGCCGTCTCCATTGGAGCGAGCTCCAGGGATGCCCGGACGTCTTCCACAAATCTTCTTCTGCTTCCATCTCGTCAGTGCATTTCTCAGAGTTCACGCCAGAGACCCTGTGAGGGATTGTGCCGCTTTCTCAATCACATTCGGCTTTTTGTGGAAGACACGACAACAAAACAGACTCGGTGTTGGGTCATTCAAGAAGTTTTAACCAGAAAGTGTCTGTTCATGAAGACTATGCTGTTGAGGTTTGCATCCAAATAAATATAAACTAAACTAGAGAAACTGCATTTATGGCGAAA